AAGAAGAAGAAGAAGAAGAAGGAGAAGGAGAAAGAGAAAAAGAAAAATACTACTACCACTATTGATAATACAGACTATTTAAACAGCGTCCACTCACATGCAATATAATCCATGCGCTTAACAATACCTTACTGAAAAACGTTGATAAAGGCACAAAATATGTAAATTGTTACTTTCCACGGACTTTCGGGCTATGTAAATAACAAAATTTTGACATCCACTTTTTCTCGCTAATTTTACCTATGATCATGAAAACAAGCGACCCCCCCTCCCCTTCCTTCAATCGCAAATGTCTCAACTTGTATTCAAGATACGGACAACGTTCAAGATAAACACGTATTTTTTCAGCAAAAGCAATGCAAATGTACAAGCTTTAAGATGATACCAATAACTCCACAAGCCCAAAAATTGACAAGCACCTGTTTCCTCCATGCTGTGACATATACGCACATCACATTGTGAGCTGAGTAGTTCTGTAAATAAGGAGTAACTCTCAAGATGGCATTTCATACGGTACGTTTTAAAAAAACACAGCCCTGTAACTGTCTGAAGAGGGGTCCCATGACTTCAGAGTAACCAAGGGAAACCACTGGGATTTGAAGCGTGGTTTTCCAAAACTCAGTAAGTCAAGTTTGACAAGTGTCTGATTTCACTACGTTGCCTCACACATTTGTATTATAAACATGACTCATTTATGTGTTATTACGTGCACATGAGTATACATATAATGATATAGATTTTAATAATGCTCGAGTCTGGGATACGGAACTTTCAGCTGTGAGCAGTCGGTATGGCTGTTTTAGACAATGTATGTGTGTGGCATCGTGGTGAAACGAGGCGCTTGTCAAAATTGACTTACTGAGTTTTTGGAAAACATGCTCTTTAATTTGTGAAAATACCGGAAAATTAGCAAAATTGCATTTGCTAACAAAACGATGGTTAATAAACCAAACTAATTCGGGGTTAAACAGAAAAGAAAAGCTGAGGAAAAAAACAGTTTTGAAAACAAATTTTTGTGAAAAATACACAAATAAACAAACCCCTCCAGAAACAGTTGTTCCTCAAATACAGTCGAACCTGCCATGACAGCCACCTGTACAAACGGCCACTTTTCATTTCCCCCCTTGCATTTTTTCTATATAATTTAACTGTGTAAAATGGCCACCTGTCCAACGCGGCCTCTGCCGCCTTATTTTATCAACCCAAGGTCAAATTTACCTGCCTCAGGTGGCCAGGCGCGGTCACTCACTTATTGCCCAGCGCTTTGTCATAAATTTTGAATCGGCCACTCATGCTGTGGACAGGCCGTCATAATTCATTCACGTGTTGTTATTATTACTTCCTCCAACGAATGTTTACCCAAGTTGACCAATGGGTAGGCCTAACAATAAATTTTCAACTGCTGGTGAGGGAAGTGTGCGATCCATTCAAACCTATAAGCCCCGCCCACAACTCATGCACAAATCGTATGTTAGGTGACTGGTCACTGTTTTTTTTACCTAATTTGTAACAAAGTAACAATGGACGATAAGTGAACTTGCAACAGAAGTGTCGCTCGTTTTCCGAGGGGTGGCGACCCGTGTGTTTCTTTTATCATGGCACTCGGTCTTCATCGTCTTACTTACATAATATTTAGTTTATTTTACCCTTGCACAAAAGTGGCAACAAAAAGAAAACTAAATAAAAAACAAAACAACAACACAAAAAAAGTCTTACATCACCCACCCCCCTTTTTCAAAAACAAAAATAAAAATAAAAACCCTTTTGAATTAGCCTTACGGCAGTCTAAAGCCTGAGATCAGTCCCCGCTTGGACTTCAGAAAATGGGAGGCCATTTTACACAGGTTTCACTGTTCTTGTGTATTTTGAACAGAGTAAAATAGTCCCACAAATACTTCTATGTGTTTTTGAAGGAAAAAAATTAGTTCCTCAAATACTACTTGGGTTTTGAACAGAACTTTTAGTTTTAGTAAGGGTTTTACGGCATTTGCAACACAATAAGGTCACATAAGTGCCGAAGATTAGAGGAGTTACAAGAGAGTAACATAAACAAAAAAGAAGGAGGGGACACAAAGACGATAGATGTTTGATAGGAAGGAAGAAGCAAACCACACCAGGGTACCCTCCAACCACCCAACTTTTAAAAAAGTTAGCTGGCGGCACAG